TATTATTGCTGAACCCAAAACACATTGCTTTTAAGTATTTTGCAGTTACTACAAATATTAAAAAAAAAAAAACAGAAATTCAGGACATGTTAACTAAATAATGTACGTATTTTTCCAAGAAATTGTAAGAGGTACTTCTTTCAAATACACGAAAGGGTGGGCGTTAAAATAAGTGGGTGATTCAAAGAACAAGTAAATAGACATTTGAAAATGCTGAAGTAAATTTCAATCAAAATGAAATACTCTTAATTATGGGAGTATTAAAAGACCAATTACTCGGAGTTTTCCTTGGTCTCTTTCTTACTTATTATACAGAAACATAAATCACTATAAGCTTTAACTGTTATTATGTAAACGCGTTATAGATTAATTAGGTACCTATATGAACAAGTTGTACTAAAGAGAAAAGTAAATTAAACATTTTTTATATATTAATATAGTTTTCAAAGCCAAATGAAATTACAAAGAAATTATTAGATGGCAAATAAATTTGACCTTTTGAAAAATTTTAACTAGTTTTATTTTGATGTTCTCCTGTTTTTCATTAATTAATAATAATTAATAGCGCCAATAATAAAATTAATTGTTCAAAAATGTTTTAAACCTTAAATTGATTAAAATTTGGTGTTACCTATCTAACTGAATGAGCTCAATATCTTTCTTACCTATAAATAAGATATTGATTTCGGATGTAATAATATCCATTTATAGTTTTTTAGAAAAAAATACACAACTATTACCAATATACTAATCAATTTATTTAAAAAATAAATTAATTTTCTTTTGGGGACCTTTTTCTGAATTTTAAAACATGTGTTAAAAATAAATTACATGCAGATTTTTGTTTACCTAGATCCTAAATAAGAATTATTAAATACCTACGACAATTTATTACAAAAAATCGCGAAAAAACAATTATTTCATTTCATTCATCGTGAAAAATAAAGGTTGTAATTTAATAGGGATTTAGGTAAAATGATGACATTAATGGTTAAACATTAATTGCNTCAATTTATTTAAAAAAAATAAATTAATTTTCTTTTGGGGACCTTTTTCTGAATTTTAAAACATGTGTTAAAAATAAATTACATGCAGATTTTTGTTTACCTAGATCCTAAATAAGAATTATTAAATACCTACGACAATTTATTACAAAAAATCGCGAAAAAACAATTATTTCATTTCATTCATCGTGAAAAATAAAGGTTGTAATTTAATAGGGATTTAGGTAAAATGATGACATTAATGGTTAAACATTAATTGCAAACCCTACAATCGGAAACATATAACCCCAGGTGGTCCTTTATTGAAAGCGGGATGCAATTAATCCGTATATTACCAACCAACGTTTACATTAGTCAATAATGTCAGTTATTAAAGATAAACCCCATACGGTACTCCATATAATAATTTAAAACTTACACCTATATAATTGAGATTTCTACGCCATTTGCAAATATTGATCGTTTATTGTGTCATTTGCATAATTGCCCTTTTTTATAAAAAACGCGAAATGGAATAAAATTTCTTTTCTAATTAAAAATAGAAAAAAAAACGAAAAAAAACAAAATGCATCTACATATGTCACTTTCATCTTTATATAGATAAAAAAAAGATTTAGAAAACACTTACCTTACTTAATAAAGAGGGCTGTGTGAATTCGATTTTTTTTGTTGCTATCCCATTCCTTCTTTAAGAGGCTTGTATTTCGGTCAACAAAAATGTATCCCACCTACCATATTATTGCTATAAAGCACTTTGCTTGCTCTGCAAATCTCATAATATGTTACTATTCTCCAACGTTGGGTATTGATTAACTCTCTGTAGGTACTTTACTTACAAGACATCAACTGTGACATCATACGCGCACTCTCATAGCCAAAAACCTGCGCTATGCGTTTTTCCAAAAAAAATATCTTTTTTGTAGAAATAATTACACAAAGATATGCTATATATTACTATTATCAAATACTATATAGGGGACAATCATTGATAAAATTCTGAAGCGGTCATTCAAATTGTGCAACATTTTGCACTGTAATTAAATGTGTAACTGTGACTGTATTAAATACAAACATACAATTTTGCTGAATTGTTTTCTACGTGTTTTTCTTTAAGAAAGTAGACTTCATTTATGACGTGAACTAAAAAAAAGCAATTTGTTTTAGTTTTGAAAACAAAAAGTTAGTTATTTAAAAGTTTTTCCGCAGTTTCAAATTTATTGATTTTGGCGCTATCTGGTATCGAAACTTTAAAATTTAATAGATGATGCAAAGTATGCAACCACCTTTCTACATATGTAATTGGTAAATATAACTTGTGAACTGAATTTGGAAAGTCCCGATAATTTTCACATTCTCTTATGAAAATTAATTCGATATTGCTTTTCAAAATTTAGAGAACACTGAGAGTCGTATCGAAATCAAGATTGACAATAAATTTTAAATACCAAAAATTATAGGTATTAAATTTAATGCAAAGAGTAAGATTTATAATTGTAAAGAAAATATTGTTAAAAAGTAAAGCACTTAAAAGTTGTACGCTTATTATTGCTGAACCCAAAACACATTGCTTTTAAGTATTTTGCAGTTACTACAAATATTAAAAAAAAAAAAACAGAAATTCAGGACATGTTAACTGATGTTAACGACATGACCGACATATGCAAGGGTGGGGTATTAAAAAGTCACGAGAAAATATTGAATATTAACCGTTGTTTTTCATAATTTTTAGATGCAAATTCGATTTGGAGCAGGCTTTTTGATCACAAAGCGTTTTTAAATGGTGAAGTGCAGTTTTTTATCCGTGAATTCGAGGTAAAGTTAAAATTACATTTTGAGGTTAGATTACATGTTTGTTTTTTCAGAGAAAAAGAAATGATTGGGAAGTAGAACAATTATTTACTGTGTTAGAGAAGGTTACTGATATTAAAGTCACTCAAATAGACCGTTTTAAACAATCAGTCAATTTATCATTTCCCCAAATTAATATTGGTTTAAGTAAAGTGTCAAACTTGTCTGATAATATTATTCTTGCTGAAGAAAAATACAAAACAGTAAGTGCCCTTAATATTATTTCTTACAAGGTACTGCAAGCACAAATAATATTAATTGTTTCTAGGATACTACATTGGAACAAGCCAGAGAACAAAGAAAATTAGAATGGCAACAATTTGTTGATAACATGTCACATGCCTGCAATAACATTGATACAACATTTGAACAAAAAGAAAAAGAACTTGAAGAGTTTTATACCGATTTGGAAGAGAAATTACAAGTAGGCAGTGCAGTACCATAAAAATGAAAGCTACATTAACTCAAACTGCAGTCCTCATAAACCCATCAAACAAATTAAAAAAATACGTATGCCGTTTAAAACACACAGAAGAAATGCCACTTGGCATTTCAGCATTGAACAGTAAGAAATCTGTTGATCACACAAAGCGTAAACAGGTTAATCCTGTTTATCATACAAGCACTGAAGATAAATTATTTGTAAAAGAATTGAACCTTCAGGTTGATAACATATGCACAGATTCAATTACAAATGGTAATTTGAAACAGGAATATTTCCTCAATTTGGAAGACTTGTACTGGATTTATCACCATTTGGAAGAGCGCAACAAACTGAAAAATAGTTCAGATAAAATGTATTTTCATGAACTTTTTGAAGGTTCTGAAATACTTCTCCCTGAAAATGAAGAGATCCCCAGGAACAAGGAACTTGAAAAGAGGTGTCAAAAATTGAGGGAGCAACAAGAAAATAAAGAATATAAAAATATAACAAAAGATGTTGATAGTATTAGGCGAAAACTTCCAGAAGATACCATTTCATACCAATGTAAGCACTGGATTATACTTATAATTACTTGCTTATATTTATTATTGCTATTAAAAAGTTACTGTTTTATTTGTTTCTATTTTTTGCAGTGAAGCAACTCAATAAACAATTAATTGCTGTTTTCCAATTCGTATTGTCTGTTGCTGCAGGCTTTGCATTTGGATTTATAGGAATTGAACTTATAGTAGGTAATTTGGATTTTGGTTTTAGACTTTTATTAGGTATAATGTGTGCTCTAATCATTGCTTTGGCAGAACTGTATTTCTTAGCAAAAAAATTAAATGAAGATTTGCAATTTGATGTAACAGAAAAGCAAAAGGCCAAACATTCGAAAATTGACTAGTATTAGTATGAAACAATAATGAATTCCCCCTTTTATTGTATATTTTATGTAAAATATTACACTATTCTTATAAAATATATGTAATAATTTACAGTTTTTTATATATTTTTTTCCTTAATTAATAATAACATTAGGTGAGTATTTAATTTACTTAAAAAAGATATAAACATTTTCAAGTGAAAATGAAGAATATTTTTTTAATGTATGAATTAGAAAAATTTACTTTCAGTATATATATTCAGTGTGCTATATTACATATCCATTAAAAACAATTTTTTTCGGGCAATTTCTTGTGCAGCAATAATTTAAGTACTGTTTAGTGTTAAATGGGTATAACTAGTGTATTTAGTATTCCTTTAATTTTCTTTTAGTAATTTAAGTAGACAGAGCTGCATAGTAGTAACTTCAAAAAATGAATCACTATTTCACACTCACATGATAATCCTGTTTCCTGCAGTTAATAAAATTTACAACTGATAAATTTGATTAATAGGAAGTAAAGGAATATGTTGTTAAATATAGAAAGTTCGAAATATTTTCAGTTAAAGTAATAAACTGTTTTCTTTATATGAAATTTATATTAATCGTAAGGAAGTTCTATTTAAACGTAATACAATAGTAGGAGGTGGAATTGACCCATACCCCACAGGAAAAGATAATTTCGTCCCCCATACTGTGACCTCTTTAATTTATTCTAGAAAATCACAAAAAAAAACTGAGTGGATAATGAACAATTAACAAAGGGATCTTTGAGTATAGTAGCTTTTGATATTTTCTGTTTCTTACACTTTTTAATATCTATCACACAGAAAAGTTTATCGTGACGATGTAAGTAACTACTGACCTAACAATTACTCTCCAATAATTTACAGTCTTATCAAATAATTATAGCCATAATAAATCGCAATAATTGTATAAGTTAAAAAGAATAAAAGATAAATTACAAATAATGTTCGACAAGACAAACAAGATTTAAACATTTAAGTTAGCTAAACTTTTGCTTTGAAATTATATGTATTACAGACCTCGATTCATTGCTATTATTGAATATATCACTTTCCGAACATTTATTTTACTAGGATTGTAAGTAATGTTTTTTTATTTAAAATGAAAAGTTCCCCCCTCACCCTAAACAAAATTTTGTATTCATGCCTGAATACAACATAGTATGATGATTTATTACAAGAGCTTTTAGTTATCCGAAGAGAAGTAACAGGGGCATGAGGGTAGACGTTCGCTTATATTTTTTAAAACTGATAATAGCATTTCTACATAAAATCCTGCAAGATTCTTTAGGTAATAAAAATTAAAAAACATCAACTTACATACGAAGATTTAAAAAAAATCTATTAAAGTATACATATGTATGTTATGGATTTTATACTACGTTAATGATCTTAACACTGATATAGTGTACAATGTACGATGTAGATGTACCTACACTTTTGTATTTTAATTCTATTTCCCACTCTAGCGAATCACCCACTTTTTATAATTGAAACTGTAAATAGAGATAAAATCTTATTTTGCACTTGTTAAAGAATGCTCTTACAATTAGATGACACAGTTCATAAGGAATTTTAGGTAATGTTAATTTACGTATTCGAATTCCTTTTCCTTGAGTTCCCTGTTATTATTATTATTGTTATTTTTTATTATATACCTATGTACGTATCTAATCTAGATTCCACAAATAAATAAATAAAATTCGTTGCTTTTCATTTTCTAAACATGTCTAATTTTGTTAGGTATTACATATGACTACTATTGGACAGCTACTGTATAAATGCATGTTTGCATATTTCTTCGTACTTCAAGGTTTAACTCGCCTGTTTATCAATTAGGGAATCCTAACATTAAGTTTCAAAATATATTTGCACGTGAGACGGATGATAATTTGTGAAGTACAATGACTTTAAAATTTACCTCTCTAGTTATAATAAGTGTAAAATGTAGAGGTAAAATATAAACTTACGAATGCATTGAATGATTGTTGCTGCTATAAGTATTACTTACTTATTACGTTTGTGTTTAACAAAAAAAAAGGAATTCAACAAACCATTCAATTAGAATCATACTCGTTAGTTACTACTACTATAAATATATAATACATGTTAGATCCGTTCATATCAGAATAACCTACTGTTGTGTGTTGAATTAAAATTATGTTATGAATCTAGAGATAATTGACTTGGGTATTTAAAATTTAGTGCGTACCGATAAAAATTATTAATTGTATATTATAATTTCGTAATACTGACATTTATTTAATAGTGCAATACTAAGAATTAAAATAAAATATAGCGGTATATTATTTTATTGTTATAAACTTTTTAAATTTGAAAAATGCTTTAGTCACAACACATTTACATCTACGTATTTCATGGAAAATTCGAAAGGTATTACCAGTATTACAATATTCAGAATTTCATGAAATAATTTGTTTTTTCTGAATACCTTTCTGTTGGGATTGCTTGACAATCAGATTGAATTAATTTTCTAGGAAATACTAATCGGAAGTTTGAAAATCCAATATTTAGTCACTTAATTACTTATGCATTTAAATACTATAGATGCTATTAAAATATATTATGAATCATTCCGAACACATTCTGTTTTAAAAAAAAGCAAATTTGCATTTTTATTGAACAGTTTCAAAATAAATGATCAGCGGTTTTGTAACTTTCAAGTTATTTTATGGATACGTCATCATACAACTTTTGAATGTGCGCAATTTTTTATAAGCCGTTTAAAAGTAGGTTTTCAAATTTGTAA